GGCCGGGGGGGGCTGGGGGGCCTGCCCCTCCTGGCTGTGGGACTGATTCCCAGCTCCCTCCCCTCCCGGTTCTGCCCCCCCATCTCTTCCCCTTCCCAAATTGGGGACAGGAGCCCTGAGAACCCAGCTGCTCCTATTCCCCCACTGCTGTGGGCCCCCCCTCACCCCGCCCCGCCGGTGGGCATCTCACCCGTGCACAGGCAGAGGAGCTGAAGCCAGGGGTCCATTCCCAGCGGGAGGGGGGTTGACTTCTGGGTGTCAGAGCTCTGCCGAGCCGAGCCCACAGCTGAGTGCCAAGCAGGGGAACTGAGAGCAGGAGGCCGGCCCTTGGGAGGGAACAGGACTGCAGCCAATGAGAAAATGCTCCCGGGAGAGACAGACAGACACACCCCAGCGGCACTGACACCCGGGCACCTGCAGAGCTGCATCGAGTCACAGGTGCACCCAGAGACACAGGCCCCAAGCTCCACTGGGCTGCAGCAGGAAGCTAGTTGGGGTCAGGAATGTAGCTACGCTGAGCTGCTCCTGGAAGGGCCTTCGGGTCCCCACGTAGGCAAAGCTTTTCCGCCCACCGCCCCTCGCCCCGATCCAGCTGGGCCCTGGCTCCCCACACTGAGCGTAGGGACTCTCCTCACTAGGCCATTAAGCCGCAGCTAAACCCAGGTCAGAGCATCCGCACAGGACAGCCGGGCTGGTCCCACTGTCACGGGTCCAGTGAGAAGGGGGTAAACCTGTGTGTGTCAAGGCCAGTGAGAACAGGTGCACTTTGTTCTTGGGCAGGTCGACGGGCATGCGGATAGGAAAGACGGCCCCACTGAGTTCTTGGAAACCAGAGAAGGCTCTTTTTGTGGTTTCACCACTTCCCGCTTTGCCAGGATGGGCTAGTTCCGGGTGGATATCGGGAGGGGGATGCATGGTGCCTGGGCTGAGCTCCAGAGTACAAGGGAAACTATAAACGAGATTGACTCACTGATTTCTGAGCTCTGCTTTTCCCTCTCCAGGTCTACAGCTCTCTGGCCAGGTCTGCACTAGAGCTTTTGCCTTAAAATGTCTATCTGCTGCTTCCACCTGTGCGGGGAGAGGTGTTATGGGGACTGTTTGTATAGGGATCCCCAGTCGCCTCTGCGGTGGGGGCTGTATCACCCAGAACTGAGATGCAGCCGTTCCCACCTGACCACAGGGATCCCTCGCCTGGTGTGCCCTGCCTGGCTGGAGTCCTGTGGCCAGTTCCGGGCGCCACTCTTCAAGAAAGATGGGGAGAAATTAGAGAAGACCCAGAGAAGAGCAACAAGAATGACGAAAGGTCTAGAAGACATGAGCTGTGAGGGAAGGCTGAAAGAACTGGGCTTGTTTAGTCAGGAAAAGAGAGGACTGGGAAGGGCCATGAAAGCAGCTTTTGGGGATCTAACAGGGTGTCACCAGAAGGGGGAGGGGGGAAATTGTTCTCCTTGGCATCTATGATAGGACAAAAAGCAATGGGCTTAAACTGCAGCAAGGGAGATTTAGTTTGAACATTAGGAAAAACTTCCTGCCTGTCAGGATGGTTAAACCCTGGAATAAGTTGATTGGGGAGGTTGTGGAATCTCCGTCTCTGGAGATATTTAAGAGCAGGTTAGACAAACATCTGTCGGGAGTGACCTAGAGGGTACTCGGTTCTGCCGTGAGGGCAGGGGACTGGACTTGGTGAGCTCTCGAGGTCCCTTCCATTCTATGATTCTAGGACTGTGACTGTCTGTGACTGGTGCTGATATGCAGCCCCCTCTCGTGTGGAGTTGAGAGATTATTTATGGCAGGATCCCATGCCTGGTACTGAGATGCAGCTAGCTCTGGGTGAGGCTCAGCAGGCATGGACACTGTACATACTAGAAGCAGCCTGTATCTGGTATTCCTTTTGGAGCAGCTTCAATTTCTCTCTCCACTGCTCTCTAGACCTCACCTGCTCTGGCTGGTTTCTTATGAACCTCAATTTCTATATTTAAACTTCCCTTTCCTCCACCCTTAAGGAAGGCAGAGCTGGTGCACGCAGGAGGCCAGTTCCAAGCCTCTGTCAGCACCATTACATTTGTGGTCTGGGCACTTCCCTCTTCTTGGTGCTGTCAGGCGAAAGCTGTTTGGGGTGATAAAAGCAAACCCTCCAGCATGTGCTCGGCTCAGACTAAGGCACAGAGGGGGATGTGCAAAGAGCTCTGCAGAGGGTGCAAGGGAATGGTCAGAGGCTCACAAGAGCAAGCGTAGGCGTGAGTTAGCCGAGAAGCAGTAGTAAACGCTGGGAACAGAAAGGGGCCGTAGTGTTGCATGTGTGGTCCCTGTGACCGTCGTGTCTGAACACCTCACGGTGTCCAGCAGAGTTAGCCTCACATCGCCCTGGAAGGGGAAGGCAAATGGCCCCATTGTACAGAGAGAGAAACCGAGGCATGGATGAAGTGACATGCCAGGAGTCACATGGCACAGCAGGGAGCTGACGTCCTGGCTTCCATGTCTGAAGCTGGCCCTGAGACACTGGCCCATCCACGCTTCTGCAAAATTCATTAGGAGGCAGGATTTAGCTGACTGGCAGATTCCCTAGGGCAGTGTTTCCCAATTTTATTTGGCTGAGGAACCCTTTTCAGCTTTTCAAAATTTCAAGGAACCCCTAGGTTTGTCAAGCAAAAAATGCAAAATTCATTAGCAGGCTGGATTTAGCTGACTGGCAGATTCCCTAGGGCAGTGTTTCCCAATTTTATTTGGCTGAGGAACCCTTTTCAGCTTTTCAAAATTTCAAGGAACCCCTAGGTTTGTCAAGCAAAAAA